CCCCCCCCCCCCCCCCTCCCTTCCCCTACTTCCCCTCTCATGATAGGAGACCTGCCCCACTCTCGATTGATCCTCCTCCGCACTCGCATCTGCACCGCAGATAGTGCGACGTTCCAAGGGAACCAGTTCGAGTTGCGTCCACCTCCAGTGAAACCAGATACGCGGAAAATTTTCTTTCTCCTTTGGTGCAGAATGTGTGAAACGTGCTCGGTGAACGTGCATTCCCTACCTCTTCTGTGGTTTGCTTTAACCCTTTTCAGTACTCAACTACGAGGGTGAATCAAAAAGTAAAGTTATGCAATTTCTTACATAGGCAAGCAAGCAAAGCGCAAAATGTTTCAACTTGTTTGCTACATCCCTGGTGTCATTACCCATGCGTATAGAAGACCAATACTTTATAGAATCTTGTCGCATGCACACGTAAAAAATGACCGCTCCTCTATCGAATTGCACCAAAGAACAACGAGCAGTAATACGATTTTTGCACGCTGAAGGAGTACCCTCGGCGGAGATTCACAGAAGAATGTTGGCACAATACGGGGAGAGTTGTTTTAATCGCTAAAATGTCAATAAGTGGGAAAACCACTTCAGAAATGGACGAACAAGTCTGATGGATGAAGATCGTTCAGGTGTTAAGAGGCAAACAGTTTCCGAATGACGAAGCAGTGAAAAAAGAGGTGCAAGATTTTTTGAAGGCACAAGACAAAAATTTTTTTCTACAAGCATGCAAAAGCTGGCGGATAGATGGACCAAGTGCATTGAGAGGGACGGTGATTACATATAAAATAATTATATTTGTTTTCATTTTATTCTTTAAAATAATGTATATATAAAGTTTGTATCTTTACTTTTTGATTCACCCTCGTATTTTATGTCCTCTTGTCTCGGTTCTCTTTGCATAAAAGCATAATCCGAATTGCTAATGGAAACATAATTTAAATTTTTACGTCAGCCGCATTTAGATGACGATAGTTACCATGGTAACGTTGAATGGGAAATTTCTGGGTTCATTCCCTCCTTCAGGGCAAACGCTTAATGAATATATTTACTGGCAAAAAAAAACACCATAGCATAATTAAAAGCTGCTTTGAGTCCACGTGCCCAATCGTTCACGAGGCGAGCAGAAGGATTGCGAAGAGGAATCCACTAACAAAACAAAGCAAGGAAGCAATTTAGCCTAAGTAATTAGACAGTCGAGTCACACACTTCTGACAAAATATTTATCTGAAGAAGGATAAGAGTTAAGCGTCTCTTAATTGGGTTTACAGCCATAGTGAATTTTGATGCCTCCATCCCATACCCTTGAACCTTAAATCACGTTTGCTGTCGGATTATTAGTTAAGTGGATGCTCATTAGGTGATACCCTTGGCCTTAGCTAAGATTTCATAAAGGGAAAGTGCTAGGGAAGCATCTGAAACATCTCAGTACCACACTCTCGACGGTGACAACACCGCTCGTATTCCATGGGATCACGTTACTGCCCCCCCCTCCCCTCCGAAGGCTACGAGGTCGTGCATCTGCTTAATCCTTGAATGACGCCCTGTTTGATCCTATCGTCTACCCACAGATTCCCGACAAAGAAAAGCGCAAAGAGAAAATGCAGACGGTACACCGCGACGGTATCCGCTACTCCGATTTCACCAAGGACGACTACGACCCGGCCCTGGACATGATCTCGAGGGACTTCTTCACCCGGGACCCCGTGGTGTCCACGGCGGCGGCGGTGGTGGGAGCACCCGAGAACACCCAGGAGCTCACGCGGATCTTCCTCGACGTCTGCCTCCCGGATGCGCTGAGCGTGAAGGCGATGGACATGGAGAAGGAGCCGGTGATGGCGGGGGTGCTGCTGAGTTACATCAGCCGGAAGGACAGCGAGGACCCGGTGGAGAGGGAGCTGAAGCGAAGGAAGGAATGGATCCCGGAGGATATGATGGGGACGGTGAAGGTACTCACCTTTGTGGAAAGCAGGACGCCGGACGTGTTCGAGCGGTACGGCGTGGACGAGATGGCCGTGCTACATCTCGTGAACGTGAAGAAGGAGTACGCGGGGCGGGGGATCGCGAAGGAGCTGATCCGGCTCAGTCTCGAGAGGTACAAGGTCGAGGGACTCGAGGTGGCCAAGGTGGTGGCGACGAATCCCATCACGACGCACGTCGCGAAGCACTTCGAGTTCGAGCAGTTGTCGCAGCTTCCGGTGGCGGATTTTACAGTTAACGGGGAGCCGTATTTCCAGACCGAGCCGGATATGGAAATTTGCTGCTTCGCCAAGAGGCTCTGAGGCTTGTCCGGCTTTCCTATGTTCCGGGATCTCCGGCGTTTCAGCACCATCGCTTTCGCATTGAGGGAGGCACTCGGGCGTGGTCGTCGCCTGGTTATCGCACACGGAGGACGTTTTATTCCACTAAGAGAGGTTTTTATTCCGGATCGGTTTGCAAATGCTTTTATGAATAAAGTCATATGTACGGGAATTGCGTCGGCCGTTTTCATCCTGCATTCGGCTGTCGTGATCGTCAGGTGACGGGTTGGGTCGCAGCTGCTTGTGACAAAGTTTAGACGATGCAACCGCGATCGAGACTAACCCAAGAGACGACAGTTTGACGGCTGGGGAGAAGGTCCCCTGAGGGTCACGAGGCTTCGTAGGTCCAAGGCCTAAATGCTGGAACTTCATCTGGGTTATACAGGGTTGCCCATTTAAAAGTGGAGCCGGTATCATACCATCCACAACGCACGCTCATCCACTTCCAATAACCTTCACTGGCCGAGCGGGTTCACTTTTAAATGGGCCACCTCGTGTAAGGCTTTCAACCCAAAAGCTATTCTCCGAAGGTATTCATGCACTTCGAAAGGGCAGTTTAGGAAATGAGTTTTAGCTCATCGATCGGTATGCTCCTTCATTCGCCTTCATCGTCGTCATGGGATTCAACGAACCACTCAGAAACAAGACCTGACACTTCACGGCCTCTACCCGCATCGAAGGCGGATAAGGAATTGAAGACATTCATCTTCGACTCATCTTAGGCGTGCCGAGAAACTTTCATCCTGCCGTACAGGGTTGCCAGAGTGCCACATCCAACTCCATTCCCTCTTCCGATCTGATCCTTTAGTCCAGAGCTGCCGGACATCCAGGGGGTTTTCGTCTCCATTCCGACATCCCTGTCTCACGGCTCAAGCGGATTCCACGTGGAGGAACGTTTTTTCTGCGGTTCGGAATTTCTTCATTACGGGAACTATGGTCGTCTCATCTAGTTTTTTTTTTTGGGGGGGGGGAACGTAAAATGATCTAGAATAGCTGTTCCTAGGCTATCGGTCGATGAGTTTTCGGTTCGAGTCGTCTCGGGTAAGGCTTAGTTTTGGCATTTTCCACTAGTATGAAAGAATTATTAATATGTTAAATTTGAAACCCTCTGAATATATATCAAGTATTTTAATTTTTATTTTATTTCAACTCGAAGTGTATTGCCTAGGCTTTTTTTCGATTAAAATCAGTCGCTGTTGGAAGGCTAAAATGACCTTGCCCTGTGCATCAGTTGGTCGCGAAGGTCAGCCTGTTTTGTGCTTTCTAGTCACTTCCATGAATTGAATGAAATTCTGAAAGTCAATTTGCCGTAAGGTCATTTTGATATTTGGCTCAGAAGTGCAGCCGTACTTCTCTTGTTTCCGTCTCGCCTGATTTGCTCACTCCGTGCACACTGATTATGCCACAGCAGATCCTGTTTCAGCTTCTCTTCGTTCGAGAGGCATTTCAAAAACAATAAGAGCTAAGTGCCCTTGGAACACCAGTGACGTCACAACAGGGAAAATTTCCCATTGCCCCGTCAACATTAAGTGTCTTCCCACACCTCCGAGTTCTCAGTGGCTCACACTTGCAGATTGAAGAGACACCGTCGTTCTCGCTCACAGCATGCATTAAACAGCAGCAGCACTGCTTTGGTTGTGGCTCTGGCTGCCCTTCTAAGAAATGTCTCTAGATTTTGCCAGTCTGCTGTGGGATTTCTCGCAGAGAGGCTTTCCCCATTCATTTATAAGGCTAATTATATTCATCAGATTCATATCTAGGAGTTCTTCATAAGAAGTTTCACAGAATTTGCAAGTCTTTTCTCCTCTACCAATAGATCGGTAGAGGAGAAAACCCAGCAGGGATACCATGAATAATATCAGAAATGAATGAAAGGCAATAATAATAAAAATGAAAATAGTTTAATAATATCATCAGAATGAAACAAAAGAATATAATAAAAGATACAAGGGCACAACCAAGACAAAACCAGACCCTGAGCCTTACTCATCTGCCTCATGCTTCCACATGATGGGTTGCACATTCTTGCTGGCCCACTCTGTCTCCTTGGATCTTTTTATGACATATATTGCACAAAATGCATAATATTCTGCATTGAATGGAGGTGGCATTGCTTCAGTCATGGAGAGAAGAGCTCCACATCCAGCCTCCAAAATGTCAAGATCCCTGTGTTATCGTTGACTTTCAAGTTTACACAATAGTTTGTGCCAAATGTAGTTGGGGTAAAACAGAGTAAGGCAAACACTACTGGTTACACACTTGATTGCAACCACATGAAGAATAGAATGCATGAGCTCATTGTGAGACAGGACTCCAACAACAGATCAAATCCCAAGAGATTATGAAACAAGACAGAGAGATTCCATATTTTCTTCAAGCTTTCATTGATCCAAAAATCAGAAAAAATTCTGCAGGGCTTCTTAATTCGTATTGAATAGCCATAATATGCCCTGCTCTGGATAGAAGGGTTTCACACAACCTTTCATGGAAAGGTTGGCATGCAAGCATATGCACTGCAAGCATATGCAAAAATTGCACTGAGGAGATCTTGACAGACCAATTACTAAATATCACAAATCACAACTGTAATATGGAGCAAATATCAATATTGCAGAGGAGAACAGAATAAAATAAAACAAAGACAAACCAAGACCTTTGGAAGACTGATATGATAATTGAGAAACTGAATATAAATTCAATGCACAATTCAGGCTCATTCAAGGAGATAAATAGAAGCAGCCAAAAATGAATGGTCAAAATAAATAACTCTGGATTATTGGAAGAGCCTGGAGACTGGAACTTGGAGGGAAAAGGTTGAGATTCTTGGACTCAGATTTTCACAGGTGTTGGGTGTGTCATGGACACATTGGGGTTGCGAGCTGCCAAGTGGAGGCACACACACAATGTTTCCATGGGATTCCCTTTAGACACAGTTGTATGCTATGCTTTAAAAATGTAATGATGAGCCGATAAGAGTGGATACCATCATATGCTCCAATTGGGGAGAATATACCAAGATTATATGTGAAGAGCAATTTTTGAATGAGTCCATTAGAATTCCTCAATTGGACTTTTTGTTTGGCATATTGTGCTGCTGAGACAGTAGGAACTTGACATGGGATAAGATGCACCACCCCTCCACAACAGCTCCAATTGTCCGCCCCATGCTCAACACGACGGCAGCTGGGAGAAAGAAAAAGAAACACCACAATTAAATCATTAGGGGACTTTCCCACCATGAAGAATAAGTACAGAAGAGATTTATGGGAAGACCAGAACACATAATTTAGCTTATGTGACTTCTCACATACAAGTGCATTCACTGCAACAAGACAATTGGCTAACCAAAGAAATCTTGTGCATGAAGCTCTTCAGCATATTCAGTTCCTTTCATGCAAGATGTACTTGTATTGACCAAAATGAAATTACTGAAATGACATGTTGGGAGCTGGAGCCACTCTGAAGTTGGTATAAATTCTATTGTGAAAATTCAGAGGATGCCAGCAAAGTCAATATATGTGGGCCTTGTATGGGGACGACCAGTAACCTATGAGAAAGAGAAATGGTTTTGAAAATATGTCCTGTTTCAGCTCTGGAGGATTCCAGGCAATTTCTTTCAAAAATAGCACAAGTGAGTCCATCCAGAAATGTAAACTTCCTGCATTTGAAGGGCTTTATTTAAATGTATTTGTTGGTGATGCGTTGCACTAGGGAGAAAGGAGACAAAAGTTCCTTGCTTTCAAGCACATTTTCCACATGGAGACAAAGAAAGTAAACGAGGTCTCAATAGTTTTTAATATTTTTTGTGTGCAACTCATGAGTCCATTACTTGCTCATAGATCTTGACTTCATGAGCTCATATATAAGTAAATAGATGTGAACGTAGTGATGGCTTGGTCAAGGCTTGAGATATCATAATTTTACATATTTGTTGGAGATCACCTAATACCAAATTTACAGCTTGGATTTAGGCATTTATGCCCACTAGAACCAGTATAGAAAAGCTTTCACCAGACAAGTATTTCAACACATAAGTGAAAACATTGAAGTGAGACTTTCCAGAAAAGGTTTTCTGAATCACACAAGAAAATGTTACTTTATCACCTTCAACAGATGATGAGCCCATTCCCATCCCAAACTAGAACTCAAAAGTTTGAAGATATACTGATGGATAACTGAGACACTGACTTTTTCCCCCCAGGATCTAAGGGCTCTTGAAATTGACATAAGTTTCAAAGCAGACTTACACATTAGGATGAAGGCTCTCCCCATTGAAGACTTAGAGAAGATGTCAAAGATGCCTTTCCTGATGCAGTACCACAGGACAGGCAGTAAATGAATCCCACTCATGGCCAAAAACCCCATTGCATTGTAGAAACCTGCAAGCCACAGGAAATGGAATTAGCTGCTTTGTAGTGTCACATGAATATTGATATCAAGACAGTCCTTACCATTCTCCATGACCTTTCGCACAAAGCGAGGAGCATCTGATACTTCCAGAGATAAGAAATCTTTCCACTGAGGCCCTAAGCCATGGTTGCAGACAAAGCACAGCCACTCGAGGCATACAATCAAATAGCCCCACTAAAAAGTAGACCACAAATGCCTCAAAATCAAACCACTGATAAATTAATAATCAAGAGAAACCTAAGCAAAGGTGGGGATTCTCACTGATGTTATGTTGGTCCAGACCATGGCTCGCCCAATGCAGTCAACTACAATATCTAACTGTGGAAAAAAACACCAAGGAGGCATTAAAGGCTTAAAGTGTAGATGACCAAGCATTTTCATTCTAAATACACAGGGATACTTGTCAACTGAAGCATAATTGTAAGCTAGAAAAAAAAGCTGACACATATTTGCAAAGCAGGAAAAAATATAAAACCCTAGTCATGGAAAATAAAGGAAGACTAACCCAGGCACCAAAAGAAGAGATTTGGTGGAGTCTTCTTGCAGCCCAGCCATCCACTGCATCAAGTAAGACTGATGTGATGTATAAAGGGAGGAAGTACAAGGGTTCATGGAAGTACACATAGGCACCAAGTAGCAGGAGAAGTCTGAAGTACCCTGAGAAGTAACGATACAATCTTTCATCTCTCAATGAAAAATCTCTCTTCCCCAAGCACCAACCAGCATATCTAAGGGTTTGCAGTGGTGTACTACTACCTTGCCTAATGTTGGACCTTTTGCTTTCCTCAGCATTCAGAAGGGTGCAATAAGAATTTCCAAATATTTTCCAGTGAACATAAATATCCCTCTGCATGTAAAGGCAGGAGGAATGTAGGGAGAAAAGAAAATGGGAGGAAACTGTCCTTCATAATGGTTGAAACAATTCCAGAACTGCAACCAAAAAATGGGTGCTTTGTAAATGTAACTCCTGTGATTCACCAAATGAAAACCTCTGTAGTGGGAAAATCCCTCTCTGTTAACACATTAGAGCTATTCAATTAAAAAGGCTTTCTAAAGCACTAGGCCACGTTCAAATGAAGAGCTAACATTTGGGTTATTTTGCGAAACCTCTGGGAAAAGCCTTCCTGTTGATATCCAGCTTAGGCCTAATCATAGATGGGATCCCCTACCGATGATGTTGGGAACGAAGAGAAGCACGGTGATGGCATTGCTTTCATACTCGTAAGCAGGTTTCTTCTGAGATCGGGATCTCGTTTGACACATCGAGACTCCCAATCAGATCTTTTATAATCTGCCTCACAAGTAACAATATGAAGAGGCAGCAGTGTTCTCAGATCCAACTCTTGTGCAGTCAGCTTGGATGTCAGTGGATGTAACTTGATGTATGCCGTCCACGTGGACATTCTCTACGTCGCCATCCTGGTTTTTATGTGCATCGTGAAGGTGGCCAGAGCCGCAATAAGTCCCATAAATGACTTTCCGTTCACAATTCCATAGCCTGCCATTCATTTTCTTTTAAAGCATAGCTCTTTGATGGACATTGCTTTTTCATTTATTTGGGAAAGATTGAATCTTTTTCATTAACTTCATTCCTGAAAAATTTTGCACGATTTCACGCAACCACACAGTAGATCGATTCGGTTGAGGAACTGCGGATAAGAATTGTCATTGCTGTTCTCTGTGGTCCGTTTTCCTTAGTTTTAGGGGATATTCTTCGGCGATGAAAGTTACCAAGCTAGTCGAGCTCTGCAGGAGACAGGCCTAACTTTATCAGTTTCCTACAGGTTGCTCTTCCATGGAGTTCGACGTTTTTTAACTTGACCGACTCGCCGGATGAAGGTAGCTCAACTGAAACGCCGCCTGCATCAGATACCGTCGTAGTCAATTGGAAACCTGATGGAATTGAGTTAAAAAGTGTTGAACTAATCTGGAAGACGCAGTTAATCGGGTTTACTCGAAAGCCCCACGATGACGACGGCACGGCCGGGCGGATTTGAAGTGGACCACAATTGGCCTGAATCGGCTGATTGCCTCACTTTGGATTTCGGCCCCTTCGAGACTGTTCACAGGTGGAGGCGAATGCCAGACTGCGATGAATTCGTGGGTGCAAGGTGAGTAAATGGGTCAAGGCTACTTGCAGCCAAAAGGAGACATGCTGAAAACTTTTACATCAGTTCAACTATCTGAAAATCTGGCAAATTACAATGAAATATTTTTATAATTGAACACATCTAGGTTTCATGTGAAATGCAGCCTGTTTAGGAGTGTTTGAATGCAACTCATAGTCTGGAATTGCTTCTTATACAGTACTTAAAATGGTACAATGGTAATTGAATCAGTGTTCATTTTTTATAAAGGTCAGATTGAACCTTGTCGAAATGTATTGACAGGTTGTAGTAGCCATAGGCCAAATGGTGATATGGGACAAAATAGAGGCAATCATCTGTAAGGAAAGTTATAATAGGAAATACGCATTTGCTTTTCTTTTCCAGCCAGCATATTATTTTGGCAAATAGTAAGCACGTCCCAGACCCCATTGCACAAAAAGTGTTGTTGCTATATAAAGGTATTGTTTTGGCCTTTTGCATTACTAATTTAATATTTTTCACCTTGTTCCCATTAGTTTGAATCTATGATGTTTATTGAACAAAAGGCTTGGTCTGGTCTGCCACCAGCTATTATGAAATCTTTGGATACTAATGCTTAAACTTCCATGCATTGGATGGCAGATTTATTCATATATACTCAAGGTCCTACTGATGGTCTTGATTCATGGTGTAGTATGCTCAGAGTAGAGGGACCAGGTGTTCTGGCCATTACAAGTTAAAAAGAAAAATGCATCAGCAGGCTTGCCAACATAGCTTGTGTGGATAGCCAATATTGAACTAATAAGATATCTATGGTAGCAATTAAAAGATGAATATATGCCTTTACATTGCAGGCGCAGCAAACACACAGTTGTTGCTTACAAGGATGCCATATATGTCTTTGGTGGGGACAATGGAAAAACCATGCTGAATGACCTGTTGCGTTTTGACTGCAAAGAGAAGAGCTGGGGACGTGCATTTGCTATTGGCACCCCTCCTGCTCCTCGCTATCATCACTCTGCTGTTGTGAGTGTTCTATGTCCCATGCCACAGTATAGTTAGGCCTAGTTATGCAAATGCGCTTGCTTCAAATGACTTAATAAATTGATTAAACAAGCGCAGTGGGATGGGGACATTGTTCCATCAATGTATCATCCTATTTTTTCTAGGTCCATGAATCATCAATGTTTGTGTTTGGAGGCTACACCGGTGACATCAATTCAAACTCAAACTTGACCAATAAGAATGATCTCTTTGAGTATAGGTTCCCTTCAGGCCAATGGATGGAGTGGAAATTTGCTGGCAAGTAAGTTGTTTGCTGTGTGTGAGAGGATTTATTGCCTATCCAATCTCCTGTGACATATTTGTGTTCTCACATCTTAAAAACTTGTCTATAGGCTGCCTCCAGCCCGATCGGCGCATGGAGCTGCAGTATATGATGAGAAGATGTGGATCTTTGCAGGATATGATGGGAACACTCGATTGAATGATATGTGGTGCATATCGCTAACAGTGAGTTCCTTTTGTCTTTTTGGTTCATGCTATGAATATTATTTGATTTGAGAGATGATCATTTCTTGCAGGGTGACTCTCGTGCTGGACTTTGGGAAGAAGTGGAACAGAGTGGAGAGTGCCCACCAACTTGCTGCAATTTTCCTGTTGCTGTTGCACGAGATTCCATGTTTGTCTTCAGTGGGCAAAGTGGGGCAAAAATTACCAATTCCTTGTTCCAATTTCATTTCAGAGAAAGGAGGTGAGAAATCAAGAACCCTCTGATCTGTCATATTTAATTCTGAAAAGAGCAAAATATTCTAAGCATATGCCTTGGCATAATAGGTGCAATACCTATGTTTCTATTTGAAATTTTTGTCTTGTGTTAGTTGGACAAGAATCTCAACAGAACATATCCTTCGGGGTGCACCCCCTCCCCCCACCAGACGATATGGTCACACAATGGTTGCATTTGACAGACATCTCTTTGTGTTTGGAGGAGCTGCTGACAGCACTCTCCCAAATGATCTGCATTGGTGAGTTTATTTCCATGTACTCATTTCAGATGGATGAACACAATGATGCCCATGTCAGACCTCTGGTCTTTCTACTTGTGACTTCTTCTGTTCTTGGGTACACTGCATAATTTACTCACTGGAAATTTTAATAGTACTTCTACAGTCAAGGTTTTTTGCTGCAAGGGCCTCTGAAAGTGCCACACCAAGCCATCACTGTAAAGGGATTACTTGCACGGAGTAGTAAACATTTGTTGCATCAAGAAAGGCACAGCAATAGCTCTGGAAACATTCTGCAGATATTCAGTTAGGTTGTCAGAGGTCATGTCTAAATTGATGTTTTATTTTTGATGATATATTGGCATTCACAGAAAATATGAATCTTCACTGAAGACACAGGAAAGACTGCAGGATATTCATGCTTTACATTTCAGGAATGAAGGGACTGTGCCTTTCTCCTTTGAGGCCCTACATAATAATCCTATTCGGTGACAGAATATGCTCAGGCAGACTGAAATGAAGGAAAAAAGGCTGATGTCAAATGGCAGAGCTTGCATTTGTTACAATATTGGTGTCACTGTGTTCTTCCAGCTTTGATTTGGACTGCCAGACTTGGTCCATTATTGCACCAGCACATGAAAGTGCAGTGCCCTCAGGACGACTCTTTCATGCTGCTGCTGTGGTTGGAGACGCCATGTACATTTTTGGTGGGACCGTGGACAATAATGTGCGGAGTGGAGAAATGTTCAGGTTCCAAGTAAGGCCTCTCATTTGTCTGATCTGTCTTCACTGTGAATTAACTCAAATGAATTATATTAAAAGGTTATTGCATGGTGACCCATTTAAATGTGCACGTAGAGTCTTGCTTAGTGTTAGATTGGAGAATGCAGTGAATGACCATGTAATAAGATTGAACTCTCCTTGCCTTTTGTTTCAGTTCTCCTGTTATCCAAAGTGTACCCTTCATGAAGACTACGGAAAGCTCCTGGAAAGTCGACAGTTCTGTGATGTGGAATTTTTGGTTGGAGGTCAGGAGGAGGTTCACATCCAAGGTCACATTTCTCTGGTGGCTGCCCGCTCTCACTGGCTCCGTGGCCGCATTCGACAGGCTCGGGAGCAGCGGGACAAGCATCTGGAAAAGGTTTCGTGAGATTCCTATATTAATATGTGTTATGAGGGACATGCAGTAGCATTGAATGCCTTCCATCTTGTAGGTGTTTGGAACTTCCAGGGTCCCCTTTCGAGAACTCCCCATCCTTCAAGTACCAATCAAGGATGCTTCTCCCGAAGCATTTGAGATGGTCCTCAATTATATCTACACCGACCGAATTGACCCTACAAAGAAAAGTGGGTTGACTTCCTTTTAAGCCTAAATTGTGGCATTGGCGACTGTAAAGCTTTTGATGCATAGTATCTGAATGCCCAGAACTCTTAGTTTCAATCATCCCATTTTCAAAAAAGTGAATATTAATGTAAATAAAAGAACAAGGACTCATGTTTGATCGCTTGTCCTCCAACAAGATGTAATGTATTTCTCACATTCACCTTGAGCCTGAGGACAACCTGGAGAATCCATACTTGTTTGATGTGGAGCATGGTATGATTTTTGTCTTTCATGTTTTCAGGCAAATGCCAACAGGTAGTTCCTAGTAAATGAACGTATACCTGCACTGCTCAAGCATCAAGGCATCCTTAATTGTATCCTGACTTGTCAGTTTTTCCTTTGTTTGCATTCTATTTATTTAAAAAAATGCTCTGACTGACTTTGTGATTTTAAAGTAAAACCTCGCTAGTCCAGACTAATTGAGGGGAGAAGGGGTTCAGACTAGCCAAAAGTTGTGACAATCCTAAGTCTATGGGAAAAAATACATTATACATGTCAATGAAATATAATAAACCTATAAAATCGAAAACAGTACTTTATATTAACTTTGTAATTGCTAAAAGTTAGAAAAAAGAAATAGTATGCCAGATACTTCCTCAGATCTCTGCACTGCTCCTTGGATAAACACAAACTGACACCACGTGGTCATGCCAGGCCGGACCTAGTTCAGATTAACTGAAGTCCGGACCAGCAGGGTCCAGATTACTGAGGTTTCCCTGTATATCAATAAAATCTTTTTGTTGTCCTTATACTTATAGTATATATGAATGAAATATTCCTTTTTATGCATGAAATGGTTGAAAGTCTACCCTTTTTTTTTATTAATCACCCAGTGGAATTTGAATTAGTTCACTGGAAAAAAAAAAACCTCAAGTAAAAGTAGAAACAAACTGCCACAGTCACTGTTTTGAGAAATTCCATGGCTTGATAATTATGCATTGACAGAAATGGTAAATTTTTGCTGATCTGTTGATGAATGAACTGATTTTGTTATGACTGGAAAATCATGGTCTTAGTGAAATGAACCTGGGTGTATAGGCTGCAAATAGGTGCTGAAATGCACTGCTCTATATTCCTTTCCATTCCTTTTCATCTATTTCTTTCCACCTTTCCATCATCTAACCTTCGGTAAATGAATGCATCTCATGGGTTATATGGTTAAGATGTAATTTATATTTGTAGCTGAGGACCCATATAGCAACAAGGCGATTCTATTGATGATGGACGTCTATCAGCTGGCACTTCAAGTGGGTTGCCTGTTACTTTCACTCATATCACATTGACTCATCTCTGAATAATGGAACATCTCCTTTCTTTAGCTCCACATGTCTAGATTAGAGCATTTGTGCATCCAGTACCTGGCAGCAACCATCAATCACAAAAATGTGCTTGTAGCCCTTGTAAATGCCAATGACCTGCGTCTGACCTACTTGAAGGAGTATTGCATGAAGTTCATTGTTAAGGAGAACAATTACAACCACATTGTTATGAGTGACGAATTTGAGACGCTGGACCAGCAGCTCATGGTCGAGATTGTTCGTCGGCGCCAGCAGTCATCTCAAGTCTTATCCCGTGTGAGCGAGCCCCAATGGGACAACTCTTCTTGTGAGTATGAAGTTCTATCAATGGGAACACAGCTGCAGCTATAGCTACTGAAGTGCATTTTCATTTTTTGCCATCCAGCTGGAACCCTTGAACAGTGCATGGAGGCATTCCTAAAGAACATTGGGAAGGAATTCAGTGACATTATTCTGTTGTTGGATGGGACCCAGATCATGGCTCATAAGGCAATACTTGCTGCTCGCTGCTCATACTTTGAAGCCATGTTTCGGTCCTTCATGCCTGAAAATAATGCAGTCAAGGTAGCTAGGAGCATTTCATTGCCATCCATAAAAAAAAATATATTGTACCCACATGATTATCGGCAACGAAGAAAGGTCTCTATATTGCTTACCCTTATGTCTTTATAACAGATAGCCATAGGGGAGATGATACCTTCTAGGCAGTCATTTGACTCCCTACTCCGGTACATTTACTATGGTGATGTGAACATGCCTCCTGAAGACTCCCTCTATCTCTTCTCTGCTCCATACTTTTATGGCTTTACAAACAACAGACTACAGGTTTGTATTTTTAATTGTATCATTCTTATGCCTTACCTTTGTCAAGTGCACTGAGTTGGTTTCTTACAGGCATTCTGCAAGCAAAACCTGGAGATGAACGTCACATTTGAAAATGTGATTCAGATATTGGAGGCGGCTGACAGGATCAAGGCCATGGACATGAAGAAATATGCTCTGGATCTCATTGTCCATCACTTCCCTAAGGTTTGTCTTGATCTACATTTGTGGGAATACTCATGGTGATTGCACAATGCTCATTTCATGTCCTTGTCTCTAGGTGGCAAGGCTGCCGAAGACCCGGTGCTTGAGTCGGGAGTTGCTGTTGGACATCTTCGAAGCCCTTGCAGATGACCTTGGCGAGGCTCGTCTCTGCCAGGACTTGTCCAATGCCTCCATCCATTCAGGAGACAATTGATGAGCCCATCTGTCTCTGCTGTCTTCTGATACCTTGCAGATGCTTGGCTTTCCACCCATTAGTCTGTCTTGTGGATATGTGAGATATCAAAATCCTAGGCAAAAGGGTCTGTCTTTTGGCTGGGGGTGTATTGGAGTGTTTTGAACTGGAATGCAAGGAGACAAGGAGGGGGATGTCTGACTTCTAACAGACTTACTGGTATCACATGGAAAAAAGGAGCCTACCATCCATACATATAATATGTGAAAAGAAGTCACATTTAGAATGACCTGGGTAAACCCTGTCTAGTAATGGTTACCTTTCTATGATTATTGGAAGCAAGAAGAGGATGTGGCAAATAGGGTGAATTTTGGGAAGAAGTCTTTCATCAGGTGCAGCATTCTGTAAGTTTAGCTTGTGTCAGCAGCATGAAAAATTTTTAGGTGTCTGCTGAACAGCCGCCAAGGGTGTACTCTGGTAACTAGAAATTTTCTGTTTTCTTGGCTCCAATAAGAAAGATAGATGTATACGTGGTATGATTTCTATGCCTCTACTTCATCTGAAAGTTGAGAATTGAATGCCAAAATCTCGATGCCTTTTTTATGCACCATCCAGTATTTTTTTCAAGACTGGCTGCAACACATTAAGTGGTTCCTTGGAATTCATTGCTAGTGGTTCACCTGCTTCCCATATATGTCATACTTATTGATAACTGGATTTTCCACTCAATTGAAAAAATATTGAATAATTCATCAAAATCCAAAAGCCCAGATTTATGGACGTGGGTTGCAAGAGGTTAGGAGAGAAAGCATGGCAGACTTTAAATCTTCCATTGTCTCTTGTTTCATGAATAAGCAATGGAACACCCAAAGGAAGTTCAGTACTGGATTGGGGCTTTGTCCACATTCTACATGTGACTTCCCTTTTTGCAAGCCTTTTGTCTCTGAAAAGGGAAATTAGGCTACTTGTACAATTCCCAGATGTCTGTCAGCACAAAGTTTTTTCTATGTTTGTGGGAGTACTAATGCATCAGACTTCACCAAAATGTTTTCCATGATGCACAAATGTGATAAACTTGTCATCTTATGAGAAAAGTCACCCAGAGCATAGAATGCTGTGGCTGGTCATTCCTCCTGTGCTCCAACCAGAGACCATCCATGTGCTTTGTCTCTGGGGATTTGTGTCTTCCTTTTCCCTTTGCACTCCTTATAACCCTGATAGTTTTTTCACTGTGTCATCTGTGAAGGTCACGAGAGGCTTGCAATTGAACTCTGCTTGGTTGGATCCTATCGATATATTGCGAAGGCTTCCTTTCATGCATTGGCATAATTGTGTCAGCTGTTGGTGCTACTCTGGGTACTTGCTACGGGAAAATTGTCCTGGCCCATCTTGCCATGCTCATTGCTATCATATGCTGAAGCCAGAGGCAGAGACCTTTTTTGTGCAAGATCAGATTCAGTGCAAACTTCTGAAGTACCACGACCAAACCGTTTCACGTGTTGCAAAAGCGAGCACAAATGCGAAAAATGTTGTAACATTCTCTCCGTTTTTGTCCACCCCCTTCACCCCTTTTCCAAGAAGAAAACCACAAACCTCAGGGGTCGAAAGCGTCCTCCCCCCACGGGGAAAGGCGCTCTCCCCCGGGAAGGAGCCTCAGGGAGCGTGTGGGACGACATACAAAGTGAGAAAGCTGTGCGGATCGTGGGTTCTGTCTCGAATCTCGTCACGTGTTGCACTCTTTCTTTTTTTCATTTCTTTGGGTTGTTGGGTGACTCGGCCGAGGCTGCTTCGTTTCACCTGCAGTCAAGTTTTACCCCTGCGATGTGATGATTTCCATGCTTCATTGTTGAGAAGTTTTCAAGGATCTGTTTATTCCCCCAGTTGTTTTGTCGAGAGTCTACCTGTTGTTCCTTGACCTGTGATATTTTTGCCCCCTTGTGTTCCTCAGAAAATATAAATTATTCATGGAATTGTGGAGTCTCTAATTTTTTCCTGTTCGTGCACCAGCCAGCGTCACGTAAGTAGTCGTATTTTGTGTGTCTCCTTTCCGATGCAAGAAAATTTCGACAGCCGCGTTTTCAGTCAAACCCAACTGAACTGAAGCTACGGCAAACCATTTCATTGACAATGTAAATGGACACGGGAAGGATATGTATTGGAAAGAAACCCTCTCCTAATATTGGCTCGCACCTCTCCCGTCTTTCGAAGGCTATTTGATTTTGCCAGTTCATCGTTTCGCGAGGGCAAATAATGACGTGTTGGGAACGCAAGCGAGTCATGTAAATGTTGATTGGAAGTTGTATTTTACCGCGTTCTAGCTTTGGTCGCATTCTACCGTTCAACGAGCCGCTTAAGTGTAAGGAATCTGATCGCTTCGTGTCGATATTGACCGCGAGGTGGCAGGAGGGAGGGAGCTGCATCTCATTTTCGCCCTTCGATCGCGATTTCTCCGTTCCTCCGCGGAATTTCCTCGTTTTGCAGCTGCTGCATGATCAGACGTGGAGGCTGCGTTGGGAATTTCGTCATTTCCAATTTTCTTCCTCGCATGCGGGCTTGGGTTTCCTTTCCATTGCGGCTCTTAGCACGTCTTGCCTTAGCCATAATATAACGTTCATCGCGAGACTCGTTAACTGCGGGAAATTTTTCCGACTGCGACTTGCGCCGCGTCAGTGAAGTCCTCGGGAATGGAACGTACTACCATCTAATCTCGGTAGTGAGAAAGCGTTTCAGACACCTGCAATTTTATAAAGCAAAGAAAATATATCACGATTTTGTGCTATTCTTCAACTTCTCGAGTAAAGAGTAAAAGGTGTCAGTTGACAGCAGTCACGTGCCTCGGCTTTCCTCTGGAAGTCGTTACGATCCTAGCAGCTTTCACTTGGCAGGGGGATTTTTTTTTTAATAAACAAGCGGCGAACGTGAGTCACATCGCTTTTCACTTCGAAGACTAGAGGGACCTGCTGCGTGCCTATCCGGTTCATAGGAGGAGGAAGAATGGAGGTCGGGAGGTCACAGAGGCGGGTCTGTCGCTCATTGGCTGCCTGAAGAGCAGGGTTGCACGCTGGAGGAAATTTTCGGGGGGGGGGGGGTTTAGTTGATGGGGGAGGGAACCGCGAGGTGTCAGGAATTAGCAGTAAAAATTTATGAATCGTGCTTGATTTAGTCTTTCGAGTCCGCGTCGTCTGTCTTTGCGGATCTCGAGAGTGGTTCCCGCACTCACGTGATGCAACTGGAGTACTTTCTTTTGGGCTTTCAGAACTGGTTTCCTGTTTGCTTGAATGAATCAGGCGCATTCCACAAGCACCACCCCAAAATATAGGTCAAAGCGTCATCAGAGGAAAGTGAAGGAAGCTGGGAAGTCTTTTCATCGTCATGCGCCCCGAACGGCTGCAATAACGAAAACAAGAGTCCGAATATGAATAGGGTATCGGACATCTGTTTCCTTCTTTGCTGGATGCAAGGTCGCATTGCGCAAGGCGCCTTCCCCCGGCCGCGGCGGTCACGTGACCATCGCCAGCCAATCGCGACTCGTGAAGACGAGGACCTCGCCGCGCTGCACGTCCCTGCCTCCCAACAGTCGGAGTCGTGCCGCAGCCGCGTTCGGGCGAACGCGATACATGGGTTCTTCCACTCGATGAGCCGATGAGAAAAAACATCCTCGCTGCCAGGAAATCTGAGGCCACTGTTTGACCTTGTAACAGTGAGGAGTGCTGCGTGAAAATATTCAGGTATGTTGAGTATGCCGTCGTCGTATGCTTCTCGATGTCATGAATGCGATTCGGTTACTCCGGGGCTTTCGTAATCGACTCGGCCGTATGAAGGATGAACGAAGCACACCCGAAAAGGGTTATGCTGGGCTCCTCCCTCCGATTAAAACGTGTGGCAATCGGCAGAAAATCCCGATATCGTAGACTTGCAATGGTGTCCTTGATTCGTGAATTGTTCTTCATTCTATTCCAAGTCTGCCCACAGAGGCTAACGGGATTTTTTTTATTATTTACAAGCTCTGATCCAGGAATTCGGACTCCACCCATAAATCTTCCATTTCTGGTCCAGCTTCCTCAGACAGTCCATAGGCGGCGATTCGTTGAGAAACCTGATCGATGGGGAAGGGGGGGGAAGGGGACGGAGAGATAAGTAATTTGCAAGTATTCCTTGAAAAGGTTTTGAACCAACTGAGTTGAATTCGCAGGCCAAGAACTCGATTTTGGCAGCACCGATAACTATAAAGGCAATTTGAAGCAGTCGAGCGTTGGTTTGCTGAAACACCGTGAAGTTGTGAACAATCTGCAGCTAGTCTACACAGCTCCTCTTTTTCCCTTATTTTTCGCAGTTTTTAGTCCTTGCCGAAAGAGCATCTCCAACGTTGTGAAAATCAGTCATGACTGCATGCTTTTTCCGTTCCATCTTCCGATTACAGAGACCATCAAGAAAGCAAGGCGATTTCTCGAACGCTTGCATGCAAATCGAACGGGCCGATGGAACTTTCGACGTTCCAGCGGAACTTGCCACAAGTCATCTTGCATCCACTTTTCCCCTCTTAAATTAGAGCGTATTTTCTCAAACTGGAGGTTTCTTCATGTTCACTACCTCCTTTCAAGTTGCGAGGTTTTTTTTTTTTACCATGAACTAAGGCTGTCGACCGATTAAAATAGTTAATCGAATAATCGGTCGATTCATCGAATTTTAATCGATTCCTTCGTTCCTCCTTGAAAGATGTCTTCGGCGTCGGGCACGATTCCGCTTGCGTCATGCTCGACACCTCGGCGAGCCTCGGGAAGGGACTCAAGGCGAGGCAGTCACTAGCATAGCAATTAGCATGCATGCAGTAGTTCGACCTACATGTGACACATTCCGATCGGAGAGAGAATAATTACAACTCAGCCAGATGAATAAGAAAACGTGAGAAAAGAAGGCGCAGGGAGGCCCTTTGCCATTCGGCGAACCCAAGCCGGAAGGATGGAAAAATGAAACCTAAACGATTGGAGGTATTCTCTTGTCCCATTTCCCTGCCAAAATCCTCTCTTCCTTCTGCGCGTTCCCTTCCAGCCTCTTCATTACGGCATTCTTTTTTCCCCATTCGCATCCAATCGCGTTTCGGTCGCTCTCGGCTGCTGCTACCTTCTGCTACGAGGCCTGACAGGCGTTACGCTTGTGTATGTGAATGGGTCAGGAAGCTTCTTGTTTGGAAGTCTGAATGCGATAGCTCTATTTTTGGGTCTTCCCTATTTTCAAAAAAATATTAAGTCGTTTTTGAGGAAGAATGAGCAGTGCAAAAAACGAGTACCTTCTACAAGCAATCTTTACATTTCGTTCTCTCGATTCGTTTTCGGCTGTTTTGCAAAACTATGAACTACGCAGTCGAATTATGAGGGGGAAAAGAGGCATTCAGGGTAAATTCAAATTCGATTAATTTAGAATACTTTTTTAAACTGCGATTAATACTTTCATCGATTAATCGGTCGATTAGTCTAATCGAATTGACAGTCCTACAATGAATTTATCCATTGCCCTATGGTTTGCATCAATTTCATGACTGTCGCTCAAGAATGATCCGAGAAATTTAGTCTGCACGCCATGAATCCGGGATTTGGTCCACGCATTCATTCCTCGATCCGTATGAGATCCTCAGGTCTGCACTAAAAAAAAAAGTTTTCATGAATCGTCGAGGGAACTTGCCAAATTTTGTGGGGAGGGGG